GGGGAAGGGAGAGAGGGACGGGAGGGAGGGAGGAAGGGAGAAAGAAGAGGGAAAAAAAGAAGGGAAAGCAAAGGAAAGAGCTATAGGGGAAAAAAAAGAACGAATCCTTGGGGTCAGGCAGTTGCTTCAAGGAAAAGAAACTGGCCATGACCCGCCTCGCGTTGAGGCTGGGTACAGTTTTTGCGACTGTTTAGAGAAAATCTAGCGCTCTCTCTGCCATTAATCTTTTCTAAAGAAAGACTTTGTTCTGCACCTGTATAAACAATCCAGATTTTCAAAACCTATATGCCTGCCTCTAATGTGTGAGACTCTGTATTTATACTGATAGCTTCAAGTCATCAATAGGTGATGCAGAAAGCTGCCCGAGATCTCCCCTTTACATCTTTTTGCTCCCCCTTCTCTTTTTACTTTTCTCCTTCGCCTGTCACACTAGAGTCAAGTTCAAGCTCAGGCGTCCCAGGAAGGATTTCTCTGCTCTGTCTAGTACTCCCTGGGTGTTCCCAGCCCAGAGAGAACCGAGAGCAAGGGATCTTTTCACTTAACTGCTCCCAAAGGAACCTCTCCCCCAGTTTCCCTCCCTCCTCACCACCACGACCCCCCCACACACCCAACAAAATGACAAAATATACGGCGAGAAAACCTCTGCAAACGGGGGCGAACTGGAGGGGTTTGGCGAAACATCCCCACAGGAGACGAAGGTGGAATGATGCCTGAGTGATGAAGTCAGCCCGGGCCAGCCACCTGTTGCTGCACTTCAGGCAGGGAGCCGGGAGCATTTGTTCTGCTGGAGGAGGCAGCAGAGGGAGGCTGGCCCGGCAGCTTCTGCCCAATCCGTCCCGGGCTGCCTGCACATCTGTCTCCTTAAGCTTCACTCAGCTTGGGAAACTGTGGGCTCTTAAGAGAAGGACAGGTAAATACCTAATTTGCATGTGAAGATTCAATTTTCTCAGTGTAAAACGGAGTAACTAACTAAACCCCGACTTCATAGAGCTTTATTTTGTTGTTTTACTTTTGTGTGTTTTAGTTACTTGATGGGCAGTCGCATGGCGCCTGGAGCGGTGCCTGGCACACACAGCAGGCATTCAGTATAGCTGGCCATTGGTGTCCGCTTCCAAAATGAAGTACACATCCCTAGGCCACGTTTTGCAAACGCGTCTCGAGTTAGAAAATGATGAGACCGCAGTTGTGTTTTGTCTCCTTTGAGGGGAGGAGCATACATCTGGGTGCTGTTTTGTCGTTTTTGTTTTGTTTTGTTTTGTTTTTACTTTGGACGATTGTGCTGACTTAGCATCCAGGAGCGCTCTCTTCAACACACCATCTAAAATAGTAGTCCATTCCCTAGACTATAACCCGAAGAGCTGGGGTAGCCTCCTCTGTCTTACGCACTGTGGTATTAAAAACAAAATTGACGCAAGGAACTCTCAAGACAGCAGAAAACAGCAGATACAGCATCCTGTGCTGTGTGGCCAGGAGGGGTGTAGCGACTGGAATACTGAGAGGCCAGGGATTCTACACATGGATTTTGACTCCATATCCTATTTACCAGCCTATTGATTTGAGGTCCTTAATATCTACGTCTGAGGCTTAGCTCCGAGTTCTGCAAAGCGGAGACAATAACATTTAAATCACAGATGTTTGAAAATAAAAGGGACCAATGTAGATGAAAGTTGTGTAAATCATTTATCGACGTTAAAGGAAAAGAGGGCAGGAAAATGAGAGGTAACTTGCGGATAGTTCGGTGTTGTTTGCTTGTTTAGCTTTTACTCTTTCGTCGGGCCAGGTTTGGATTGGCAGTCATACATTATGAGTGATGAACTTGGAAAATACAGTTCTGATGGAAAAAACTTGGGACAGAAGCAAAGGTCGCGATCCTAGGGTTTCCAAGTGTCCGGCAATCTTAGCCATCGCTAAGATGAGTGGGGAGGGAAGTGGGTGGGAACGAAGGTTCCTCCTCCACTCACTTTACGCACACTTATCTCGCAGTGACCCGTCGGTGCGGCCCAGGGGCCCAAATCTCTGCTCAGCAGAGACTTCCCCTTCCCCGCCCCACCAGCAGATCCTCTGCACTCAGAAAAGCGGTCCCCACCCTTTCCACGCCCCCGCCCCACCTCTTGCCCCCCTTTCCAACCCCCTGTTCTTTGCCTGGGGTGGTTTGCTCCGAGCAGTACGGATAAATAGACCTGTCAAAAGGCGCAGCGCGCGGTTGTGAGCGCCGAGCCGGGGCCAGGGCGCTGACTTCTCGGCCGCGCTCTCCCGGGGCAGCGGCGGGGCTCCGCGCTTCCCGGCCGCGGTATCTAGAGCTCAAGGGAGTTCAGCCTGTCCCCCCGCCTCCGCAAGGGAGCGGAAGGCGGAGACCGCGAGGCTGGCCTGGAGGAGGAAGGCGGGGGCGTGGGGGACACGAGCGATGTCCACCGGCTCGGTGAGCGA